TGTCACATAGTTCGGGTTTTACAAATAGCCGCTGTTATCAGGACAAGGTTAAACACGATGTGAAAATGTTTGCGTACAAAGGAAAAGTGATGGTCAAGTGTGTGTGAGGGCTGGTTGTTGGGGCTGAACCCCCAGGAAGGCACCCGTGGTTTGCCAGGCACGATGCTCAGGGTGCTTGGCTGCAGACGGAAAGGTTGCAGGTCTGCGTCCACCCAGAGGTGACTCAGAAGAAAGGCCTGGTGACCTCCTTCTGAAACGCGTGCTATTAAACACCCCTGGATTACAGGTCTGCACATGTGGGGTCTCCATGCATTGGGTCGGATCAGCGGTGACTGGTACTCACTCCAGAGGCGGCCCCAGCCAGTGACGTAGCAGGGGAAGTCCTGGGGCAGCACGGTGTCCGCCTCGGGCAGGCAGGCCACCTGGATGGTTTCGCTGAGTTCCACGTGCTCCGCCAGCTTGATGAGGGCAATGTCGTTGCTGGAAGGCAAGGGACAGGGTAAGTGGACTGGGCAAAGCTTCTGAAACTGTGGTCACTTCCCATGAGGGTGGTGCATAACTCAATGTGGGGGTAGCGAAACATGTGGCAACAATAAAAGGTTTCTGAACGCACAAGGACCGAAAGTTAATTGAACATCAACCATGGAATCAATCTGAGGTGTTCTGGGCGGCGCTTGCCTGGGGTCGCAAATCTCTCAGGTGAAGGGGTCTTGAGTGGAAAAGGTTTAAGAAGCCCTGAGGGCTTGAGCATTGAATGGGGTGTGGGGTGGGGTTGTCAGGCCAAAGGTAGTCAGGGGTCCCACATAAGCGTCATGGAGTATCAGCTCCTCAGTGCCTGACGGATGTAGAACAAGCCTTATAACCCGATCCCCTTTCTCTTTAAGCAGAAAGACTTAACAGAGGAACCAGAAGCATTGCACACCCCTGCGGTGGATGCAGCTCTCAGAAGTTAGGCAGAAGGCCAGGGGGCAGTTATACAGATAGAGGCAGGACACGGGAGTTGTGGTTTTTACATCGCCTTTTCACCAGGATGAAGGTGGGCAGCCCTAGACAAGCTCTGGCTTGATTCTTGGTTTGTCCATTGCTGTGCAGTGAATTACTTCATACGGCTCATCTAGCTATAGTCTGGTAACTCTCACTAACAAATCAGGTAGGGCTATGCAGATAAGGTGCTTGTGGCCCACCAAGGGGATTGGATAGCTCGCCAATACTACAAATAAGGTGTATGGCACTCTCCCGTGGTTGGAACCAGGTAAATAAGGTCTATGGGGCTCTAGTGAGGGGACTGATCTTTTTCGCCATCCTGCTGCTAGGCTCAGTAAAAGCCAGTTTCAAAGCAGGTGGGGGCACTGCACCACAACCAAGAAGGAAGAGATGGGAGCAGAGCACACCCGTTGGGCTTGGGGTCCCTGCGCTGGGAACCTCCTAGACCCAGGAGCTAGGAGCAGTAAGATGGAAGACAGCATGGCCTTTGCAGGAATGATAGATGCTTTTCAGACCCTCTGAGCTAAGGTTTGCCGGAAAAGGCTCCCAGCAGGACCCAGTGGCAGCAAGGGTCCAGGAGGGCCAGAGTGGGGGTGGGGGCAGAGCGTACGAAGAAACTGCCCTGATCAAGAACTGGTATCTTGAGAAGTTTCTGTTATTTCCAGGTTGATCCCTATCTCAAGTTATACACTGTTACTTCTCTAATAAGCCATTTAACTGCAAGTGCGACTTGGGAGTTCTGTGAGACATTGTAGCAAATGACCGAACTCAAAGCAGGGCAGGAGAGGATAAAAAGGGGGAGGAGGAGGAGTTGGTGAGGAGGAGGAGGAGGAGGAGGAGTTGATGTCAGAGGTGATGGAGTGGTCCAGCAGTTTGGACAAGTTGGACACTGGGTACTTCTTCAACCCCCATCTCATAGCAACCAACTTGGTGCTGGTCTTTATTAAAGAAAGGACTGACTTAACCCTGTCCTGGGCTGTGTGACCCAGTACATATACCTTAACCTCTCTGAGCTTCAGTCCCTTGTCTCGGGCTGTGGTGAGGACTGACGAAGTGGCCGGGAAAGTACCCGCTGCACTGTGCACACTCAGTAGGTGCCCAGTAAAGGTGAGGACTCTGGACAGACCCTTCGGGCCTCCATGTCTCTAGGCCTCATGCACCGCCCAGGGACCCTTGACCCATGATGGGGGGAGGGGTGTCTGTTTCTATCTAGTTCATGGTCATTTTGCACGAAGGGGTGTCAGAGTGAGGATGGGGTTCCAGGGGCCGGGTGGCGGCAGACCCTACCGCTCTGTCTCAGGGGGCCCTCCTCTTTCTGTGCTGACCACGGACACTCACCGTATCAAGAAGGAGTTCCACTTCTCATGGACGAAGATGGTGTCCACGCCCACGAACTGGGAGCCTTCCTCGTCCAGCACCAGGTTGTTCTTCCCCAGGCCCACACGATAGGTGAGGCCATTACTGGGCAGAGCAAGGAGACAGGGTCAGGGTCGGTTTGGTGGCCGGGCCTCGTGGCTGTCATAGGAAGAGAGCATCCACCTCCCCTGACCCTTCCTAGTGGGGTGCAGAGAACGGACCTGGAGCCAAAAGACTTGGGTTATAGTGTGGCTTTGCCACCCTCAGTGAGTAGCCTCGGGCCTCAGTGCCCTCATCTGCAAAAACTTCAAACCGAACCCACTGTGGTCAAGTGGATTCGCAGAGTGAAACTGCCACAGAGGGTGTTCTGGACTGGCTTCTAGGGAAGCGGGTCGCCAGGCCTTTCTTCTGCACAACCACGGGGGGTGGGTTAGATTGGCCAACCTTTAGGTTAGCGGCTGCTGGCAAACGACTTGTGTTACCTGAATTACCTTCTCCTCACCGGTACGGTGCCGATAATATTAGAATTTGGGTCCCCGGGCTGCTGTGAGGACAAACTAGCCCACACTGCCATCAGCCCATGCCTTCAGCCTGATGACAGCCGTCCTACTGCCTCCCCCCGGAGCCCTGGCCTGTCTCCGATGGACTCAACAGGCCAGTAAGAATCTTTGCCACTGGAAACCACTCCACACCCTTTGGAGAGCTGTGTCTCACTCAAGGTCAAAGCCCAAGTCCTGACACTCACTGGCACAACCCGGACCCTTGTCTCCTCCCCAGCTGCTCTCTTCCAAAACAAAACCAAGCCATTGGCCGTCCAGTTGATGCTCCAGTCAGTTCGGACTCTCAGGCCGTCTGTCCGAGTGGAGCCAGGCCCCAGAGGGTTTCCACAGCGGACTTTTCAGATCACCAGGCCTTGCTTCCAACGCACCTCTGGGTGAACTCAACCCTCAAACCTTCCAGCAGCTCACTGAACATGCGGCCCCAGCTGGTTTGTCTCCCCTCAGCCACGCCCTTTCAAAGAGAACCCCTTGGACTTCTTGCCCCTTCCTGCCTCTGGCCTCTTTCTTTCCCTCGCCACTTGGTGTGTCATGAGCTTGCTTCACTGTCTGTTGTCTCGGCTGACACTGGGCAGTAAGCTCCCTGGGGAATACAGGCGTGGTCTTCACCCCTGCTGTATTCCCTGGCACATAGTAGTGTACAATAGATATTTGCTGCATGGATAACTGGACATAAATGCTTAGTTAGCCTTTATAGACGAGCCACCGAGTTACTGGGGTAAGGCGCTTATCTAGTCCGGGCCTGTAGGGAGGAGGGTCCTCTGAGCAGCTTTGCCGGCTCCTGCCCTGGAGCGGGCTGCCATCCCCGCTGACCTGATGCAGTGGGCGGCGGTGAGGACAAAGTCGCTGGCGATCAAGCTCCCACCGCATGTGTGCCTCCAGGTGTCGTCCTTGAGGTACTGGAGGGAGACCTGGAGAGGGTGCCCAAGGGCCACGTGTCAAGTCCCCAGGAACCCTCCCCTTTCCCCCCCACACCTTCTGCCCCCGCCCCCTCCCCCCATGCCATAGTGTGCTTACCTGCCAGGGCCAGCTGTGGGGCCTGGCATTCTCTCCTCCTACCACGCGGGTCGAGAGGTTGGGCAGGAAGCTGGGGACCCCACAGCTGGAGGCTGGGTGGGCAGGAGAGAAAGCTCCAGTGAGTAGGGTGAGGACCGGGTGGGCAGGTGGAAAGAGCGCTGGCTCATATTTCACTTCCTGGCTTTGGGAAAGCCACCTGGGTTCTGGGCCTCAACTTCCCTTTCTGGGAAATGGGAAGACCAGAGCTAACCTGGCAGGTTGAGAATGGAACTAGACAATTTATAGAAAGGGCTTAGCACATCGGGTGCTTAGAACATTGAGGGAAATAAAAAGGGGCCTGGGAGGTGTGTACACCTGTGTCCACCCCCTTACTCGTGTGTGTGTGTGTGTGTGTATGTGTGTGTGTGTGTGTGTGTGTGTGTGTTGGCCCCAGAGTTAAGGATGTTGTAGCTGGAGAGTTGTGAGACTGGGTCACAAGCACCTAGACCCCAATATTGGCTCAACCACGAGTTCATCAAGTGATCTTGGGCAAGACACCGAGCACTGAGCCTCAAGGTCCTCATCGGTATGATGGAGACCATTCAAGAACTACCTCTTGGGGCAGGAGTCCTGATGGCACAGTGGAGAAGGGCTTGGCTCCTGACCAGAAGTTTGGCAGTTCAAGCCCTGACTCGGCGGTTTGGAGGGAGAAAGACCAGGTGACCTGCTCCCATAGACTAGAGCAGGGGTTTCTGCATGGCTTGCCTCACAGTAAAAATGCAATAGACAGGAGTGTCTACTTTTGCTTGTTGTTACTGATCTTAGCTGGAAGGATTCTGTGAGATTTAGAGAGGTGATGGGACTTATCTAAGTCCTGCCAGGAGTGACATTTAAGCCAAGCCCTTTGATGGCTGATCTGATGGAATGCCACCCTAATTGGTGGGGATGGGGTGGGGCAAAGACTCCTGAGATGAGAGATCCTGCCAGGAAGGCTGGGCCCCCATGGTTCCTGGAGGGCCTGTGGATGTGGCCCTGGCTGTGACCCTGGCCCATGCTCGGTGCTTACCAAACCTCATTTCAGTCCTCAGCTGACCTGGGAGGTAGAGGCCGAGCTATAGAGGTGGGGGTTTGACTCGTCTGACCCTAGGTGAGTCAGAAGCACTGAGCCTGGGCCAGTAGAGGGCATGGACCCTGCCCTTATGCCCACAATGCCACCCCGAGTCCCAGCCCCTAGCTGCCTCCAGTCTCCACTCAGAGCTTACCGCAGGCCAGGAGTGTGGCGAGGACCGCGATGCTCAACATGTTGCCAGTGTCCAGACAGAGTGGCCAGCGAGGGGGCGCGGGCACACTTATAGGCAGGAGGGGGTGGGCCCCACCTGGCCAAGGCTGAGCCACCCCTGGAGGAGAGACCTGTTTCCATAAGGCCTTTTCCCTGACCTTGGGTAGAGCCTGTTTGATTTGGACAGGAAGACAGAGCTGGCCTGCCACCTGATTTTCCAAACACCCTGAGGTAGGGCCAGATTCCGAGTTCTGCTGCTGGCTCTTAGCCGGCACTCCGGATCAAGGAGCCCTGGTGGTGTGATGGTTAAGCCCTTGGCTACTCCTGAAAGGTTGCTAGTTTGAACCCACCAGCTGCTCCACAGGAGAAAAGACCTGGAGGGCCCTTGTGCAGTTTACTCTGTCCTGCAGGGCTGCCGAGTCGGAACCCATGCTACAGCACACAAAAGCAATGCCACCACTCCCCCATCTCATTCCTTTATCGTTATCATTTATTGGGCCCCAATCCTTCTTACACGGTCACTTACTTCTCCCAACAACATGAAGTCGATGCGACCATCTGTTCTCTAGACATGAGGAAGCTGACACACAGAGAGGTCAGTGACCGCAGGACCATCTGAATAGTCAAAGAGCTAGAATTTGAATTCAGCGCATCTAAAACGATGCTGAGTGTGAGCCCTGGTGGGGTAGTGGTTATGCATTGCCTTGTGATCTCTACGGTCCACAGTTCAAAACCACCAGCAAGCAGCTCCTCAGGACAAAGATGAGGCTTTCTACTCCCATAAGCAGTTACAGTCTCAGAAACTCACAGGGGGTCGCTATGAGCCAGCAATGGCTCAATGGCGATGCGGTTGGTATTTTTTAGCGAACACAAGGTCAAGGAAGAACTGGTTGAGAGAACCAATGTTACCGAAGGAAGAAGTTCAAACTGACTGGATGCATTAGCCAAAAACAGGGCTCCAGAAATTGATGGGATGCCAATTGAAATGTTTCAACAAGCTGATGAAGCACTGGAAACACTCCTTGATCTATGTCAAAAAAAAAATTAGAAGACGGCTTATCTGGCCAACCAACTGCAAGAGGTCCATATTTGTGCCTATTCCAAAGAAAGGTGACCCACAGAAGGCAGAAGTCACTGAACAATATCATTAATATCACATGCAAGTAAACGTTGCTGAAGATCATTCAATAATGGTTGCAGCAGTACATCCACAGGGAGCTGTCAGATTCAAAAAAAGATGTGGAAAGAAGGATAGGATTTCTGATATCAGGTGGATCTTGACTGAACGCAGGGAATCCTAGTGTGATAGTTACGTAATTTCATGTTAACTTGATAGATAAAAGTGTAGAGTGGATCTAGCCTGTCAATCATGTCACAGCCTGATGGTGCCTCCTTGTGGGTGTGTCCTTCTCTAAGGGGGATCCTGGGAACCTCCCCCCTCTCTCTCTGCCTTCACCTTCCTGTGGATGGGCCATGCTGAGGCCTGAGCAAGCCCTGTGATGCTTCCACCACCATCGGATCCACATAACGACACCCGCTGCTCTGTGATCTCCCTGCATTCGGCATCCGTGCCTGTGGCTGCGGGAGTCTGAAGAGGGACTTAGGGACTAGTATCGGACTTATGGACTTGAGTTGGACTGGGCTGGGATGTTTTATTGTTGCATGGTTACTTCTTGATATAAAGCTCTTTCTTTTACATATATGAGTGGCTCTGGATTTGTGTCTCTATTCAACCTGGCCTAACACAACCAGAAAGATAGTTACTTGTGTTTATTGACTAAGCAGAAACATCAGACTATGTGGACCATAACAAACTATAGATAATATTGAGAAGACAGGTGATTCCACATTTCATGGTGCTCATGTGGACCCTTATATGGAATGAGAGGCAGTCATACAAATAGCATAAATGAATACTGCAAAGCTTACAATTAGGTGTTCATCAGCTCTCATCATACTTATTCAATCTGTATGCTGAACAAAAAATCTAAGAAGCTGGATTATATGAAGAGCAATGTGGTATCAGGATCGGAGGAAGGCTTATTAACAACCTGCAATATGCAGGTGATACAACCTTGCTTGTTGAAAGTGAGGAGGACTTGAAGCACTTACTGATGAAGGTCAAGGATCACACCCTTCAGCAGGGATGACAACTCAATGTGCAGAAGACCAAAATCTTCATAACTGGACCAGTAGGTGACATCATGATAAATGGAGAGGAGACTGAAGTAGTTGAGGATTTTGTCTGGCTTGCCTCCACCATCCATGCTCATGGAAACTGCAGTCAAGATATCGGGTGATGCGCTGCGCCAGATCAGTCTACTGCACGAGACCTCTGCAGAGTGTTGAAGAGCAGGGAGGTTACTTTGAGGACTAATGTGCCCCTGACCAAAGCCATACTTTCAGTGACCTCATATGCATGTCAAAGTTGAACACTGGTTCAGGAAGACCAAAGAAGAATGGATACATTTGAATTATGATGCTGGCGAAGGGTATTGAAAGTGCGGTTGGACTGAAACAGGAACAGAGAAATCTGTCTCAGAAGAGCTACTGCCAGAATGTTCCTTAGAAGGGAGAATGGCAAGACTTCCCCGCACATACCTTGAACATGTTATCAGGAGAGACCAGTCCTTGGAAGATGACATCATGCTTGGCAAGGCAGAAGGTCCGTGAAAAAGGGTTGAATTGGCACAGTTGCAGCACCACTAGGCTCAAACCACTGTGTGGACGGTGTAGGATTGGGCAGTGTTTCGTTCTGTGGTACCTAGGATTGCCATGCGTCAGAACTGACTGGAGGCACCTGACATCCTCATCTTCATCCTCATCCACAACAGCACTTCCAAACATCACATTTGATAAAGTACAAGTTCGGTGAAAACAAGAGAAACCTTCAATGAGAAGGAAGAATGCAATATTCACAACAAACTTACCAACACTCTTGAAGAGTGTGCAGGTGCAGGCAATGTTTATTGTCCGTCATAAGGCTTCCACCATGAGGCAACTGACAGCAACACCGACAATGATCTGGGCTCCACATGACTGGGGCACACGGCTTCCTTCTGTGTTGCTTTAGCTCTCTGCTGTTTCCTGTCTTTCTCTCTCTCTCATTCAGCGAATATTGCCTAGGCTTGGGGCACCTTTCATACCCCAGAACCGGCTGAAGGTCAGGCACACTTGGGGAGGGGGTCCTTGATTGGCCAAATGCCTACCTAGAATCAGCTGAGTTAAACCCACCAACCTCCCAGTCTTCGGAATGAACCACCAGGACCAGATGCATGCTCAGGCTCCTTTAAACCCTAAAGTTCTGTGACTTGCCGGGGAAGGTAAATCGATGAATCTGGGTTTGTGGTACTTGGTGTGAGTATATCCTGTGTGCCCAGAAGCTCTATCCAGACCAGAGGCAGGTGGTGGGGGCGGGAGGGGGGGGCGGCATTCAGCTCTGGTTTAATCCATTTAGTAGCCTTGAGTGTGGTGGGTTAGACTCCGTTCTTCCTCCCCTCTCCACTCATTCCGCATTCTCCCTGAGTGCCACTTTCTGAGTGGGACCCATTCATTATTGTGATAGTTAAGATTTTTGTGCCAACGTGGCACCTGTAAGAAAATATGGGTGGAGTTTAGCCTGGCAATCAGGTCACCACTTGACCTCGTTTGGAGGTGCCACTGAGATACATGGCTTTCTGGAGGCGGGCCACTCTTTCTCTCTGCCTTCTGCTTCCTGATGACGATCCCTGCCGAGACCTCTGCCAGCCCTGTGATGCTTCCACCGCCATTCGATCCATAAGACTTTTCATTCACCAGCCTGTGATCTTCCTGCTTTCTGCATCAATGCACGTGGCTGCATGGGTCTGAAGAGGGACTTGTGGCCTAGTTTTGGACTTACAGAGTCGATTTAGACTGGGTTGGGATGTTTTCCTGATAGGCAATTACTTCTTGATAGAAAGGTCTTTGCTACACATATATGAATGTCGCTGGCTTTTTCTCTCATCAACCCAGCCTAACACAGTTATCTTAGGAATTCTTTACCAGATGGTTAGTGGTGGTTACCTGGGGGTGGGAGTGGATTAAAGAGGATTCTAGGCTTTGTTTTTTTATTTTTAATGAAGTTAACATTCTTTTCTAAATCAAGCATGTGTTATTTTTGTAATATAAAAATAACAAAGTATTGATTTTATGTCTTTAAAAGTTTGATTTCGAAAAGAAGACATGGAGGCATAGGAGTGAGTGTGCACGGAGGGACGTCTGTCCTGCCCCGAAGAGCTCAGGCCCACACCTGGGGCCCCGAGGGTCTCGGGGTCCAGAGACGTTCTATTCCATATTAGGGCCTTGTATTAGTCCGGGTACTTTGTAAAGTCTGCATCCACAAGCAAAGTCAAATCCGGACAGGCCATCCATAAAGTCAGCAACAATATGCACCCGTTCACAGGCTCAAAAGTCTCCAGCTGGTCAGGTTCTGGTCATCAACTCAATGTGGGCTGCCTCACTCAGACTCCACAGGGTGCCCATTGCTTGCCTTTCCTTAGGCCATGGGCTCTCACCAACTCAAGCCT